ACCTCTGTGCATTTTTGTATCTTCAAAATTTCTCATAAATACATAAAAAATGACGGTCTAATTATCAGTTATTTCTGTTAATGTCTAACTGTGCCTCATTATTGAATTAAATATTACTACACTAGATATAGTGATTCTAAAGAAGTGAGAATTACTTGGCAGTGATTTTGTTCACGCACTTTGTCATTTAATTTTCGAATTAATCACCTAGATTATAAACAAACTAACTATAATTGTTAGTTAACCTTGAAAGAGAAAAAAATATTAGATTAAAAAACAACCAATACTTATAAATCATAAATGAGTTTAAACTTAAAAAAGGGAACTATTTAATTTTTAAAACTCACAACTATTTATTCCATTTCTCTCTCTACTGTAATCAAAAATAAATAAATTGTACACTTTATTTTCTAATGCTCGGGACTAAATGATAACTTTACATAATGCAAGACATTCTTTAAGTGTGCATGTAATATAAATATAATCGACGTATACTTTTATCAAGTTCTTGGATACTGGACTACTATCATATTGCGGATTACTATATCCGGATTTTGAGGTTAAATGTTAAAAGTTCCCAAGAAAATTATTACGCAATTCTGCTATATTTGTGTTACATTAAATAAAATTTAGTAAAAATAATAAAGTTGAAATATAATGCGAACCAAGGAACTGGAAAGTTGATTGACTGTAACAGGTGATTGCCAACGCATCTATCATTTTAACTAGTTAGAAAGCATAAGTTACAAAACATATGAGGTATATTGACGTCACTTAATTACTTTCAACTTTCTTAATACCATAGATATCATTTCCCCTTTTTAAAAATAATTTCACAGATAGTGAAATGTAAAATTGGTGGCAAAGATTGTGGATGCTTTGTTAATAAAATGAAACCGATTAAAGTAAACATAAATGTGAATTATAAGTAGGACTATTATAAAATATATATAAAACGGAAATATTAGTAAATAACGTCAAATCTATTGACTGAACGTAGATCTTAGAGTAAATGTTGTAGTTTTAGCATGGCAGGGGTTTACGAATGGCATGTATAAAAGGTAATTATTGGATATAAATAAGTTAAATTCATAGTTCTTCATAACTTGGCTATGAAGTTATAGTTTATATTAAGTTATATTCCAAATATAATACAAATATAATGCAATTTATCATTTTTAAGAATGCTAGAAAGTGAGAGCCACAAAAAGTTCCTATTCCTGTAGAATCAACCATACATGCAAACAGTTGTTAGAAATACGAACAATTTTACCATGAATGTTTGCATTCGATATTAATGGAAGAGATTCGAAGTAATGATTGATTAGAGGAACTAGTTTGGAATTCGTTTTAATTAATAACATACAATGGCTAGTATTGCCGCATATACCAGTATAAGATAGAAATCTTATCCATTATCATGCAGAGGCACGATACTGTATCGACTATAATGGAAATGCTATCGCGGTAATTTTTTCGGTATATTGTTTATTTAGTCGACAAATGGGCTGATATTCACCGCGCTGTTGTTACATAAGCGGTATATATTATTGATAACGCGGTCGAGACGCAACGAGATGGTTGAGATCAACGTTGTTAAATAGAGACAAAGAAAAGAAAAAGCGTAGGAACGTGTCCCCTTAATTCCTGTTTTTCATTTGAAGTCAATATTCAAACAATACTCCATGCGTAACTACGTTGCGATAAATCGCGGAGATGCCCGTGAAATTTGCTGCAACAAAGTACACGCCTAGAAAGTTTTGCTATTGAACCCGTAAATTATAGAATATTAATTTAATTAATTTGCTTCGATGCACCAAATTTGCATATATCAGTTTAATAGCAACAGAGGTCATCGAATTCGTTTTAAAATTACAAAATAATCATTAAGGTTATGTCGCCGGTATGTAATATCGTTCGAAAATTGTAGGAATCGTGTCATTAGTGATTGAAGTCACTATTAACTACAAGCATTAAAATTGTCATGTTATTTATTAAAGTCACTTGAAAGCCACGAGGTCGTTCCAATAATATCAAATGTTTTATGAACTCATAAGTGTTATTATAGATACTTACAATTATACTTATAATTAGTTGTGAACTATTTAAAAGGAATAAAAGTGATGGATGGGTTCTGCAACATTATTTCCCAATTTACAGTTCTATATGAAACCAATGGTAAAATCTACAATAGTCGATGTTATATATATTTCAGTTACTGTTTCAATATAATTTAAGAGATGATTCTTGACGTTGGAAGAAGACGAAAATCAAGAACAAAAAATTGCATCTTCAGCTTTGTTTTTTAGTTATTGGCAATTAAAAATCGACCAAAATATCCTTACACGCGAGCGAGCCTCCTTACACGAACGAAGGGAGGTCAGCTTAAGCAATGGTGTGAACAGCGTGTTAAGCGTTTACACGACGTGAATGAAGAAGTGTAGGTTTACTTTATTATATTTGGCATTTACAAGAAGCAATAAGACCTTACCCTAATAGCGGGTCTCTGGAATCGTGTTAGATTCCTCACGAAAGAATGAATGGATATGCTCCATTAAAATATTCACCACATTAGCTTATTGCGAAAGCTTTCAGTATTTCTATCAGTGAATATATTGTACAATGATAAGACTCAATTTTGATTAGATTAAAAGAGGATTATTAACACATTTTTGTTGTTCTCAAACACATCTTACTTAATACAATGCTAGATCTATAAAAAGATACCTTAAATATTTTAAACCTTTCTTAAATCTCGTTGTAAACAATTCAATATCTGTAATTTCTATAATAAAAAAAATGTAGTGTAGAAGGATAAGTTGATCATAGTGAAGGCTAAAACGAACATGGATAAGATGTATATGGAACATGGAGGTGATGTGGAAAAAAGATAGGAAACGCTTATCAGTAAGTGCCGGTAAGCACTAGAGTGTGGTGGCTTAGGTGGTATATTATCGTGTTTATACCTTCCGACATGTCGATAAACGAGGCAAACATTAGCTCTCGATAGATAGCCCAATCGATTTAACATTTATCTAGGAATAAATTGATAGTAGAAATGTTTTTGCAGAATCTGGTTCGGAACAATATTTAGAACGGAATAAGCGACTTTGAAACAATTTTGCTCTGGTGTGTTTTAAAGAAATATCGATTTTTTTTTACATTTCGCTTTATATCTTAGAGTCTATTTTTTAGTAAAAGGTTTTAATTAATAAAATTATCCTTAAGACGATACTTATTATATAACGATTGTTAGGTTATAAATTAGTAAAAGGTGCGAAGATGTCTGTTTTTCTTAATTGTAAAATGCAACCACTTTCGCATTTTTCATTCTATTGTAGTGAAACTTATTCCTATTAATTTCTGCTACCATTTCACGTAATTAAAAAAGAAAACGTTTCTCTAGCATCAAGTGCCTTCAAGATAGGTTTTTCTTAAAAAATATCGCCAACGCTAAACTGTTCAACATTGAGAGATGCGGCAGATGTCGTTCTACAGTTTACTACTTGTATTATACGCGGATCTATTTTCGCATTGATTGGTTGTCCATAAAGGATAGAAGAACGCTTACAAAACTGCTCCATTTTCGTAACGGGCGATCAAACCACTTTCAAACTGTAACTCATGGAAAAAATTACACTATCTTGGTAACTACAACACCTTTGATAAACAGTTTGATAAATGTAGCAGTGATAATCGTAAAGAAATCAATATAGCTAGCACTTTGAAGAGTTCAGTTGGAAGAGGGGGCATTACCGGACTGAGTACTTGTCAAATTGGACGACTAATCCATTAGAAGCAACATTTTTAGGCAGCGGAAGATAAAGGGGATATAAAGCAAAAAATGTCACCGCTTATCCTAATCTGGGCTGAACATAACGCAAGGCGCTACAATAAATAGGATTGTAGGTGACCTTAGTAAAAAGAATCTGAAACCTGATTAGCAGAAATCTGAATAAACTATATGACAAAAGATTACTTGCAGAAATGCAAAGATTACGATAACTTCTTTCGCAGAGGAATAACTGAAACTTATTCCCTACAACCATCCTTCCTGAACACAAGTATTCCTGAAGCGCGGAATTAATAATAAAAGAAATGAATCAAACCAGCTTTGAATGACAAGCTTATGTACAGAATCGGACAAAGTACTCCTCCATAAACAATTCTGTAAACAAAATTGGTCACTTCCATTGCTTCCAGTGACGAGCTAGTAGACGATTAGACACAATGAAATCGGCGAATACTAGATAATTTTCTATAACAATAGTTACAAAGGAAGAGATTTTGCAAACAGTAATCATTAGAGGACTACCTTTACGAGATATAAAAGGTTTCATCCTGATAGCTTGATCCAGTCCGAACAATTGACAAACATACATAAAAGTTCGATTTTTGCAAAAAATATTCTTCATGAAAAGCAAATGGAAAAAAGGTTTGGCAAGACAAGCGGAAGAGTATGCCCTATGAGATAGAAAAGTAATCATCCTGATTGGTCTAGCCGTCTTGAAGAAGTTGGCAAACACACATAAAAAAAACAAACATATGTAGAAATGTTATATTATAAGTTAACAGAAAACAGTATGATAAATACAATATCGTAGCACTCACACAAAATCGAATATAATACCGCGTTTCTCTTATTCCTTTTTCACTAATTCTACGACACAACGAACTTCACTCGACCACGATAAATTCAACTCTGACAGCATTTTTCACGCTCATTTTTCCCTTAACAAACCTTGGTAACGCTCACAACACTCCTTGACAACATTAACATATCTTGACAACGTTTATAAACAATTACCCCTCATGCCACGTCCTTCCCTGACGTCACACCATCTCATAACTTCGGCCATTCTGATAAACACATCTGCCCTCAGATGTGCCCAATATTACTAATTTCACTTGCGCTCCTGATTTCTTACTATTCTGCATCGACTATCAACCTCAATGGATGACGATTATCCTTCGTTGTCTTCATGTTCGTCATTTTCTTCTTAAGCTTTTTGAACTCGATCAATTAAACCGCTTCGGCCCTCCTGTACTAATAACACTTCCACTGTATTCCGACTAAGCGCGTCAACATGACGCATCGCCGTACCTGGTCTATGCTCGATTTTATAATCAAATTGTTCAATTAAAAGTGCCCAATGCGTCATTCACAAACATACATCTTTCTTTTAAGATTTTCTATCGTTTCTCCGGCTTTTTGCAACTGCTCTTTGAAAGTATTTGTACTGTGTTCAAATTGCTTTTTCATATCTTCTATCAGTTTATTCTTTTTCTTCAAATCTTTCGTCGCACGTTCTATTTCTGTCCACAAACCTTTCTCCGATTCTTTATGAACCGCGCTTTGTTGTTGATTTTCTTTCAATTTTAATTGCAATTCAGTTTTCTGATTTATATATTGCTCCATAATTATTCTTTTCTCTTGCACCTCATTCTCAAGATCATTTCTACTTTCCCCCAAAGTTTTATTGCGACTCTGTAAATCTTCGAGTTGCTGCGTTCCTTGAGCAGTAGCATTTGAGACTTCATTGTGAAGACGGGTCAGTTCTTCTTCCGTTTCGAATAATTTGATGTTATCATGTTCAAGTTGACCGACACGTTCTCTTTCTTCCAGCAACTGCTTTTCGTGATCTTTGATCTTATTTTCATTTACAGTATTTATCACACATTGCTCACTTCTTTCTTTCTGAATATCACCATTGTTACCCGATTCTTCCTCGAAACGAAACAGGAGATCTTTACACTTCCTATTCTCTTCCTCCAATTGTAAAGCAAGTGCATTTTTCTCTTCGAGTAATTTTGAAAACGCAACCTCCGCGTCAGTAACGGTTTTTTGCATTTTCTCGCGATACTGCTCATATTTTTTTACTACTGAAATGAGCCACTGTTCTGCTTGATTTGCGGCCTTCGTAATTCGTTCACGTTCTAAATCTCGTTCTTTCCGGAGAATCTCGATTTCCTGTTGTTTCTCCTTTAACGTTTCCTGTTTCCTTTGTTCTGCTGACAACCTCCGTGGGTTTTGGTTTACTGGTGCATCATCTTCAAGTATGATTTTCATACGTACACCTGTGTCCTTTGTCTTCGTCACTGTATATCCACTAATTAAATTTTTAATATCGTTTCTAGTTTTTCTATCTTCAAATATGGTCCAATTCGATCATATCTCGGTCGTTTTGTTCACTACATACGTCTACACTTAACACTTCATTCCATTCACTATCTTCGTTAGCACACTGGTTCTCACGTTGTTCTTTTTTAATTTGTTTAAACTTTACTTGTTTATGTTTCACTCTTACTTCCATTTGTTCAGTTAACTCAATACCTAATAGTACATCGTGTCCCAAGAAGTTATCGGGAACTACGTCAAAGTCTAGCGTTGCCTTTAAACCGTCAATCATTATATCCGTTTTGAAACGTCCCATAGTGTGTACGTTCACGGCGCCTATACTATCGAATCTAATAATTCTTTTCTCAAGTTGAGGTGCTCCTAAACGCAAATACGTACTCATTCTTACTAAATTAAGATCACTTCCGGTGTCAATCTTTGCCACTACATTCGTGTTCATAACCTTTATTTGCTTGACCCCTCTTTTATTTTCATTCCGCCACTCGTCACAACGTGTCTTAACCTTTAGTATATTTGCACAGTTTGTTGAAATGTGTCCGAATTCTCTACATTTAAAACATTTAGGACCTCTCGATTTGTTTGGACAATCAGCATTCACATGTTCTCTATCGCCGCAATTATGACACCTTCTATACTTCACTACGCTTCCAGATTGCCTGTATTTCCTGTTGTCCTCAGCTCTGACCTGTCTCACAGATGACTCTGCTATGCGAGATTTTTGTTCCTCATAGATGATTAGATTTTCCTTAAGTTCTTTCATTGATTTATCCTCATAAAGTATTGCTTTATTGACTTCTTTGTCTCTTATTCCTTCTACGATGTACCGCATTTTTGCTGCTTCTTCCATATCCATGTGACTAGCTATCCCAAGTATTCGATACATGTAGGCCGTATATCCTTCGTCATCTCCTTTTTCGTCTCTTGAAGTCTATGGTGTATTTGCCAAGTATTAAATTTTTTTGAAAATTCCTTTATTAGACCTCTTTTCAATTCACGCCAAGTTCATGGCACTCATAATTCAGCTGATCCTCTCATCAGCTTTTTGTTCCTCTGTCCACATATACATGCTTGCCGTTTCTTCAAATGCCTTGAACCATTGATTGATATTTGCGTTGTTTTCACCCGTAAAAACTTCTAAGGTGTCCAAATCTTCTAAGTCTAAGATGTCTAAATCTTGAAAATTTAATGTTGTACGCCTACGTGTCTTTCTACAGCATCTGTCACAATTCTGATGTCCATCTCACACGTTCTTTCTGCGTTCACTTTCACCTTCTTTATCGCCTTCCGTTTCACTCTCGTAGTCAGTTTCTTCCTCCGACGACGCATCTTCTTCCAAGGCCGCCTGTAATTGCTCACGTAATTCTGCTTTTCTTCCTTTCGTCTCTAGCCCCATACTAGCTAGACGTTCTCTCAATTCCTTTGTTCTAAGCCTCTCGAGATATTCGCCTACATCTCGATCACGCTTAGTTTTTGGTTTGGTCTCACTGAGTTTTAGTTTAGTCTTAGTTTTGGTTTCACTGCTCGCTTGCTCCTTGAGATTTGATTGACCAGCACTACACGCTCGATTTAGCCTGGCCACCAACACTGACCTTGCCCCAGATATCGGTAGATTCATCTGAGCAAGCTTATTCTTCAATTCTTTCATCGTTAGATTTTCCTCACTAGAAAATTGTTCCTCTTCACAATTTGTCATCTTAGACTTCACAATAATGTCTTTAAATACACACAATATTATTCGCAACAGCTAACGATCTTTTATCACACCGCTTCCCGAAATTTTAGATTGGCACGGTTTAAAACTGGACGAGCCCCCAATTTGTAGGAATGTTATATTATAAGTTAACAGAAAACAGTATGATAAATACAATATCGTAGCACTCACACAAAATCGAATATAATACCGCGTTTCACGTATTCGTTTCTCACTAATTCTACTGAATTGATTGTTAAACTCATTATTTAGTTATTAACAATTAAAAATTAGACGAAATATCCCTGTGCGCGAGCAAACCTCTTTACACGAACGAAAGTAGGTCAGCCTAAGCAGTGTGAACAGGGATCCTCAAATGGGCAATAACTTACCTCGTACAAGTAGTAGAAAAGAAGATTATGGTATTCGAAGACGTAAATTATCCTGTGCGAGGTTCTGTAAGAAAAATTGTAGATTAAATATTACTTATTCATTAAAATCCATAGCAGCATAACGAAAACTGTCCCGTGGAATTTTCGTGTGGAGAAGACTAATGTTTCCGCTAATCCTTTGCCTTCATGCCAATTAGTAAATAATAGCACATATATATAATGTTTATACAGATTTCATACACTCATCGCAATCGTTCCATCTGGATATTCACAGAAAAATCAAGTATTCTTGAGGTACTACTAAATGTGGTCGAACAGTATCTTGCATGAACACATTTCCCACACAAATTACTAACCACTGTATATTACAATATTCACATGCATACATATGACATAAAAATGAAGAAACCAAAGGTTCTTACGAAAAAGTTTATTTAAATTATATTCGAAGAATTAATTAAGGTATCATCTGATGGGATAATGTCTAATAATACAAATTAGTGTACAGTCAAATAAAAAATTGTATTTATCTTTGCCGAAATGATACTGTCTTTGCAAGGCAGTTATAACCATTTTTAAATCAGCATATCTAGTGTGCAGGCTGTTATATGTGCTGAACACCTCAGATGTCGTAACTGTCCCTGGTTACTTTCGATAAAATTATACGAAGAAAATGAAAGCGTTGGCGAAGAATATCATAAATTTTTCTTCTGAATGAACTCTCCTTTATTACCTTGTTACATAACGTGTTTTAGTGATTTTAGAAACTGGGTAGCAAAGTAAAACTATTCTGAAAGGACAGAATTATTTCGACAACCAAAGAAAAAAAAGAAAAGAGAAAATTAGGAGAATTGTATAGACATAAAGTTGGAGTTAACTGTAGATTTAGTATAGATTTAAGTTATTCCACTGCATATTTTTTTCTATCTTTTTCCTACGCCTTTTTGGACATTTTTAGTTCTTTGAACTTTTCAGTTGCTTTATTTTTGTATTCTTCGTATTTTTTTTAAATCGTTTTGATTTAGTTACAACGCAAGTGATTTGGGCGTGTGGTGTGTGTACTGTGTAGGGTGCGTGTTGTAAAGTTGTTCGTAAAGAAAACACAGGCTGTACTGAACATTTACTGATATAATGACCTTATAAAATTACTAAAATAATATAAAATTACATTTACTGATTTACTGATATTATAAAATGATTGTTATCTTTGTTGCGACCTTTGTGTGAACAGTTTAGATACTCGCTATGCGTATATGATCTTTCGGCGGGCACTCGCGAAGGGGACGGTCGCAGTACATACGTAAAGTTCGTATAAGCATTATTTATATGTGCATTTATTAATTGTTTATGGATGCAAAGGATTAGAGGAAACATTAATCCTTTCTACTCGAAAATTCCATGAGGTGGTTTTCGATATGCTACAATAGATTAATGAGGAGGCACAATAAATTAAATTTTCGGATGTCATTAATTTCTTCTTTACAACTGGTACGGGGTATGCTGTTACCCATGTGTTAGTCGTCCAGTAGAGTCAGTCGATAGCAGATGTATTTATTAATGTTCATAAATAAAATTTGTCGAATGATAACGAGCACAAATTCATTATACATAGAATAACAAAATTAAGTGCTAAATTTATGCTTCAGCTCGCTTTCATTTCTATTGTATAATAGATGCATTTGGTCAAACAATCAATAACAAATATAGATTAATTATAACGTGCCATTAAAATTTCTATTATTATCTTTCAGATTATCCTATATATTTGTTAATTTAAAAACATGTTAACCAATCTCAATTTTGTAAACGATTATAATAACAAGTGATATAAACCTTTATGCAACGAATAAATGGAAATTATTTACATATCTAATGAAATTTTTAATTGAAAATATAAAATATGATCTAATGCACCCTTTAATTTTTAAATATGTTTGTTTTAAATTTTCACATATAACATTGTATATATTTAATTTAGAAGTAAACTCGTTAAAAAAAAAATCTACCACGGTATTCAAGCCAAGCTCCTTTGGATCGGCAAAACAAAATAATAGAGACTTTTCTTTAAATTACATTTTTTGACAACAATTGTTACATTAAGTAAAAAGATAGAAACAAATTTGTCTATACCTTTTTTTTTTATATATTTTACGTGGAGGAAATCCGCACGGACGCCAGGCCGCTTCTGAGGAAAGCGGCGTGGTAGTATCGGACTCCAACCGACTAAAACCTCCACGATGACCGTGTCCCGGCTGCGATCGATATCCCCCCCCCCCCCACA